GGGGTAAGACGGGCCCCCGGGCGCAGGGTGGCTGCCCTCCGGGGCTAGGAGCGCAGAATCTCAGTGATCCTAACAGTCACAAGCAATACCTAGCATCTAGTAGGTGTTCACTTTGTGCCAAGCGTTAATTAAGCACCTTAACGCGCTCTCGCTGGTTTCCCTCCATGCACGGGGACGCTACGTACGAGGTAGGTACCAGCATCACCCCCAACTGACGCATGAGGACGCCCAAGCACAGGGAGGGTTCCTAACGACCCCCAGGATCCCACGATTCACAAGCCGGGGGGGGGGGGGCCATAGCAGCAGTCATGGTGTGAGCTCCGTGTGTATCCCTTGCTCAACTATCTGCCGCACCTCACTTGCTACTCCAGACGGTTCTATCATGCCAGGTTGCCGGTGGGGAGGCCGAGGCTGGGAGAGGTATGTTACCTTCTGACAGTCACCCGGCTGGAGAGCAGGGCTCGGCATTCCGAGCCGGGAGGATTCCAGAGACTGTGTTGTCTTGGAATTTTTAGAGGGTTCCTGCCCCTCCCCCCAGTCTCAGGTCCATCTCGTGTGGAGGCTCCAGCAAGCACTGGCCACTTGTTCGGAATATTTCCCCGATAGGCCGCCACGTGAAGTATCCCCGTTACTTTGGGCTGATACTGTGGTTTTCCGGGGTCAGGGGGGCAGCTCTGGAGACTCCTGGGTGACCTGGGGTAGTGGCAGCAAGGGGTGGTGGACGAAGAGAAGTCAGGCCCACAGGAGCCAGCCTCTCTGCTCTTGTTTAGCCAGAGCAGCCCTTTCAGGAATCTCCTATGAATCGGCTTTCCCAGCAGGATTTCACTGAGGGAACCCCCCCCCCAGGTGAGGGCATCCCAGGCCCCAGGATAGGGACCCAGCAACAGTCTGTCAGCGCCTGCCCTAGAGCCCTGACTCCATCAGTCTCAGCCTCCCGGAGTGGGAATGAGAAGGAGGAGCAAAGACCTTGACCTTGAGACAGACCAGAAGGGAAATGACCAGGTGGGGTGTGGGCCATGGTGCCCAAGAGGAGGGGTGAGCACCAAGAGCCAGGTCTGCTTCTCTCACCGTGGCATGATCCAGGGAAGACCAGCAAGGGTCAGATCTGGATAGAACCTTTGAGGTCTCCACCTCCAGGCTGGAGAAGGGACGGGACCCTAAAGCTGGCTGCCTCGTCTGCCTTCTGTCCCTTTGAAAGTGACTGCTTGGGTTCAGACACCCTCTCAGCCGCGTCTGAGTTATGTGGTCTGGGGCGCGCATCCTTCCCCTTCACTGAGGCGCAGCCTCATCACCTGGCAAATGGGAGCCGGATCTCCGTTGTGTGGGGACACTGTGGACCTGAATGATAGTGCCACAGCGGCAGGTAGGACTCTTGGCACCCAGGGAGAGGGTTGGCGTAGGGGCAAGAGAGCCACTGAGGGGGCTCGGAGCAGCAAATTACTCCTGATTCTTCGGGTGGCTTGCAGGAGCTGCCTCCTGCCTCCTCACCCTTCCCTGTGCCTTCCCCTCGGGTCGTTCCTGCGGGAGAAGAGGGAGGGCCATGGGGACAAGCAGAGGTACACCCCGTGTGGCCCGGTGCCAACAGAGAGGAGCCCCATGGAGGTCAAAAGTCCTCTCGGGGAGGTGTTGCAGGAGGGACTCACCCACTTGGGGTCATGGGACTGGAGTGTTCCTTGTAGGTAGCAGCCTGGCTCTGTTATGAGAAAGGAGGGCTGGCAGGCCCCCGAATGACAGCAAGGGTAGTCAGCCAGCTGAAGTGGGTGTGGAGGGGGGGGCAGGACCAGGGAAGTTCAGGGACCTCGGCAGCAAAAATCTGAGAACCTTGTCTCTGGGGCTGTATTGTTGTAACCCACTAATGGGTTATGAAATCAAAAGGGTGTAACCAGATTTTTCTTGGAATGGAATAGAATGAAATGGAGTGGAATGCGATAGAATAGAATAGAACAGAACAGAATAGAATATGCAGGCGTATATCCTACATAGTGATCATAAGAATTGGTCCAGGAACGTTTTGCATCCCTTTTACCATGTGTTCAGTGGATTTCCAGGTGAAGTGGATTTCTTAGTCACTGATGAACTTTGTGCAATCCAGTGTTTCAGAGCAGGCTGGGAATTACTCAGCTTTTATTGCTCAATATTAATTCTCCAAGTATGTACCGTGGGTGTGTGTTCACAGAACTGAACAAGACACATGGGGCCCAGAGTGACGGGGAGACAGACATACAGCAAGTAAATGAGTAAATGAACACAATCGCTGGAGAGAGAGGGAAGTGCTTGCAGGTATGTGAACAGGATGGTATGATCGGGAGGGAGTGAGGGGGTGTCAGGGAAGACCCCTCTGAGGAGGTAGCCAGGTCTGGAAAAAGGCTATTCCAGGTTGGAGGAACAGCATATGCAATTCAGCGGGGCTTGGAGAACATGGTACATTCAGGGAAGGACATCTCGGGTATTGGCACTGCAGGTGCAAAGGGGTGGGGGTAGGAATGTGTCCAGCAGGTTTTGGGGACTGTACAAGGGTGGAGGTTTCCTGCTGGAACAGAAGGGGCTGAGATTTTTCCCAAATGGGGGTATAGAGCCAGATTGTGTGGAGCCTTAGGGGAGCCTGGGCTTTTTGCTACCAACAGTGGGGAGCTATAGAGTGTGCTTGAGCTCAAGAGGGCTATAGGGAGAAGAAGAATTTCTCCTTGGGAGTGCTGGGCTGATCATTGACCATGTCCTCCTGTGACCTGCTGGAACTCGGTTCTCCCAGCCATGTGCCCCTACCCAGTGTGTACTCCTCCCCCTGGGAGCCATTTGTTACCCTCTCTGAGAACAGGCATTGGCCTGGAAAGGGGCGGGGTGGAAACTGTCAAGGGCTTTCTCACCCCTCCCCAGCCAAGCAGACCCTGCCCAGCCAGACAAGCCTGAGTCAAGGCCCCGTCCCCTCCCCTCCAAGGAACCCCAGCTAAAAATACTCTGTGTGGCTCAGAGTGGGGTGTGGGCACAGGACCTGTGGGGTCTGCTTTGGAATGAGGGGAGTGTGAGGAAGGTGGGTGGGGGTAGCCAACCCGGGTTCCTCCCTGCTGAAGCCTCTGTTGCCAGGGCACAGCCTGTGAGGGGAGGCAGATGGGGGTTTCTGAGGAGCCAGGCAGCCAGCCCCCCAGGCCTCGCCCTGGTCCCCCACACCCCCGAGCCCTCATGGCCTTCCACATGGTCTCTCTGACTCTATGTTTATGTGTCCAGTTTCCTTTTTGTGAGGACACCAGTCCTAGGTTAGGGCCTGCCCTAATGTCCTCAGACCTCATTCTAATCTCCTCTGTGAGGACCCGTTCTCCAAAGTGTCCAAAGGACTGGGGGTAAGGACGTCAACATCCGAGTTCTAGGGGGACACAGCTCAGCTGATAACAGTATCTCTATGTATGGGTCTCTGTGTCTCTCTGTCCATCTGTCTGTCTGTGGTTCCCCTTGGCCACCTTTCCTTTTCCTTCCTGCTCCCTTCTCTGCACTTCCTTCTGTCCCACAGGACTGACACAGACCCCGAGTCCAGTCCTTTCCCGGCTGGGTGACCTTGGGCGCATGGCTTCACCTCCTGAGCCTCAGTTTCCCCCTCTGCCAAACGGAGCTAAAACCACTACCACTCATGCGTGCCGGCTCAGCAGGGCCCATGGCGGGCAAAACTTTAATCTTGCCCGCCCCATATGATCACCTCCCAGCTGCATCTCAGCCCCGGATGCAGACTAGGATGGGAGAGGGGCCCCGACTTGCCCAAGGTCACACAGCCTGTGGGGCCAGAGCGGGCCCCTGGCCTGGGTACTTTTCCACTGCCCCTGTGTTGGGGTGGGGAGCCAGCTGGCAGTCCGGGCCTGGGGGACACGCAGGGCTGGGGGAAGATCCGCCCTGTCTCCCGGGAGGGCAGCTTCCAGCACTTTGGAACGCAGCTGCGGGGCAGACTCAGAGTTTCCACCCCACGTGGTGGAGGGGAGAGAGGACAGCTGCAGGCCTGTTTCCATTTACCGAGCGCTTGCTTTGTCCCAGGCCCCATTTCACGGCCTCTACACACGTTGCCTGTCTGAATGCCCACAGAAACCCCACGCGGCCAGTCCGATTTTCCCCACTCTTCACGTGAGGAAACAAGGCTCCGAAAGGCTGACACTTGCTCAAGGTCCCCCACTTGGGCGTGTGATTCGAAATCCCCAGTCGGCCAGGGTACTTGGGTGCCCTACCGCCCTGCCTGTCCACCCCAGGTTTCCTGCCAGGGTCCCAGAGACCCGGGCCTGATCGCACAGGGCGTCAGGGAGCCCCAGGGGCAGTGGCCGGGCCCCGCTTCAGCCGCCCGCCTTACTGCGTGACCCCAGTGGGACTCATTGCCCCCTCTGGTCCCCAGTTGGTGCACCTGTGATGCGGGGCTGCCGTCAACCATGAGGCCAGATGTCAAAGTGCCCGTGTTTTTGAGCCTGCACGCACCATTGATGTGGCCCGCCAGCAGCAGGAAGGGGTGCTTCTTCCGTTCATCCCCAGCAGGCTTGCACACCACGCCAACCTGAACGGTGCCCTAGCGATGCCCCCTCTGGTTCTTCATGAGCCTGAGAACCTCTTCTGTTTGCGGGCCTCCAGTGGTT